GGCGTTAGGAAAACGTCGGTGGTGTGGAGGTATTTTGGTTTTTGGAGGTCGGACATGAAGCAGAGTAATGTGGACTGTAAATTATGTCGAGTACATGTTCTCACAAAGTCGGGGAATACCTCAAATCTTTTTCACCACCTGAAGCAGCGCCACGCCGCAGAGCACGCGCAACGCCAAAGGTTACAAACCCCGAGAGGAGCGAGGAGCCCATGGCGCCTGTGCAGCCGAAACAGACGGCGTTCCCGGTTCTTACCTTTGTGTCGCCCATGCTCTCTGACTCAGACACCTGGTAGGTGAGGTCGGTCTCCTCGAAGCCCGTGGCGCTCATACGCTGGTCCATGGACGGGTCTGAGCGTGGGGGCGAGTCCGGGGAGTTGAGGCACGTTTGGATCAGAGCTTTCCCCGTCTCACTCGTGATCATTGGTTGGAGTTTCCGGGTGGCGAACGTGTAAACGTGACCCGTTTCACTGGCCACCAGCAGCAAGACCTGCGTCCCCGTCAGGGTGGAGAGTTCATACGCCTGAAAAAAAACAGACAAAAAGAGGAGAGGAGAGGAGAGGGGAGGAGAGAGGAGAGGAGAGGAGAGGAGAGGAGAGGAGAGGAGAGGAGAGGAGAGGAGAGGAGAGGAGAGGAGAGGAGGAGAGGAGAGGAGAGAAGGGGAGAGGAGAGGAGAGGAGAGGAGAGGAGAGGAGAGGAGAGGAGAGGGGTTATTTCTGTAAAAAAAAATTATCATCTTTACAGTCGGAGCGTCAATGTTTCTATTAGAGTGTTTGACTGTTTTCTGTTAAAATTTTATTTTGGTGTTTAACAAAAAACATGAAAAAAAAGAAAAATTCAAAATCATTAAAAAAAAAATTAAAAAAATTTCAAAATCATTAAAAAAAAGAATATTTCAAAATTATTAAAACAAGAAAAATTTAAGATCATTAAAAAAAGAAAAAATCTAAAAAAAATAAAATAAAATTTCAAAATCATTAAAAAAAAGAATATTTCAAAATTATTAAAACAAGAAAAATTTAAGATCATTAAAAAAAGAAAAAATCTAATTTATTAAAAAAAGAAAAATTCAAAATTATGAAAAAAGAAAAATTCAAAATTATTTTTAAAAAAAATCAAAATTATTAAAAAAAGAAATTCTCAAAATCACTAAAAAAAAAAATGATATTATTTAAAAAATTCAAAATCATTAAAAAAAAATCAAAATTATTTAAAAAAAATTCTAAATTATTAAAAAAATTAAAAATCAAAATCCAGAACAGCTGCAAAAATCTGCCAAATTGACTAAAATTGAGGTTGACCCAAAACCATTGAACCATCTCATTTCTACCAAAGCGAGGAAGACCTGACTTTCTGCTGCCTGGACACCTCATCGAACCCGAGGCGCATGCACATGCACTCCTCCTCAGATCTCCAACCATGGGAGGTGGAGGTCCTGACAGAGGTCCTGACAGAGGACTGAGCTCCTCCTGCTTTTGCTCTCCATACAGTTTCTCCTGCAGACCCTGAACCCTGCTGAGCCCTGACGGGTCAAGACTCAAACCTGACCTCAAGTCTGGTCCTGTGGTCCGTTTAGTTCTGAATTAATCGATCTGAAGCAGATGTGAACGGATCATCTGAGCAGAGAATAAACTCACTTCAGAACCAAACCAGTTAGAGACCAGTCTACTCCCAGTCCTCCCACTCCTCCACCCACCTGTCAGTTTGTGACAGAGTGTGGGCAACAGAACATCTCCATCAGCAGACTTCGTCAAAGAGAGTTAGTGCTGCCAAGAACCTACAGAAAGACACCTCAGTTTCCACGACAACAGTCTGGGACCAACACACACACACACACACACACACACACACACACACACACACACAAAGAGAAGGACTGCAGAGTTAGAGTGAGCAGACTCTTCAAAGAACCACAAGGACAAACTCAGTGAAGAACTACAGGAGGAACAAAAGCTGCTGAGGTTCTCCTGACCTCCTGACCTTTAGACACCTCACCGCCAGTGGCGGCCGGCCCATAGGGGGCGCTGGGGCGCCGCCCTCTGTGAAAAATGAGGGAAAAAATGTTTCTAAAAATAGATTTTTACAACAAAGATGTTTTTACCAACTATTGTGGGGCCACTTGCAGTACTAATCATTGAAACTACATTTCCCACCTGCTCCTATTTATTTAACATGAATTTTCGCTGACACTCGTAAAGATTCTTCCACGGGGCGCTGGTCAGATCGCCCCAGCACTGCGACGAAATAACCAATCATGTACAGTTGCCAGGTAAAATTAATAAATATTTGGCCAATCAGCACAGCGGAAATTCATGGTCTTTGGGCGCTGAAGATATCGCACTTGCGGCCAAAAGTGTCGCAAGATTTTTAGGGGCGGGTTAAGAAGGAAGAGGAGCCTGTGCGCTCACCCAATTAAGCTAGCTCAGTGGTTACGGTGATGGCGAATTCGAAGCGATCGTTATTGGTCCATCCGTTTGCTAGACGGACAACAGAGGAGAAAATCCGGTTGAAGGAGCTTGGACCGGACAAGCCCGACCTCGTCATTAACCAGCAGACCGAGGAGGAAAACAAATCCGACAACTGGAGTTTTTGCAGGAGTTGGTTCGATCGCAAGTCACGGCTGACAGGATGTGGAACAGCAAATGTGAGACACTACAAAAGAGCCAGACTAAAAAGAAAGCGAACAGACGATGATCACGCCACCATGTTAGAAATCAATCATTTTTAAACCAATTAAACCGGGACAGCGTGGACAAATTTCAACCTTTAAACTGGGAGTTTTAGTTTTTAATTCTGCTTTTGTCCTGGCACTACACTAGGACAGCTGTTTACCCTTTAACACTTTATTTTTTATATTTACATTTGTATTGATGGACACTTTATCACGACTGACACTTGATTTATAGAAAGTTAATAGTTTGTTTTTCTCCAGAGTCTTTACTTTTATTCATACAGCAGCTTTATTTCATAAGAGTTTGTTTGTTTAAGGTTTTCAATAATGTGATGAAGGTTCAGAAAAATAAAAGATCTTTTATTTCCTTCATTATTTTCTCAGAATGAACCAGAATGATTCATTTTCACGGTGGACCCCCCCCTACAGGGCTCTGGTCTCCAAACTTTCCGCCCCACCTACTATTTTTCTCACCAGCCGCCATCCTCAACACACACACACACACACACATACACACACACACACACACACACACACACACACACACACACAGATCCCAGTTTTTTAGCTCCATCATGTTTCAGACCCTCAGCGGTTCTTCCGCCTGACCTTTGTATGACCTCTATAACCTCATCAATACATCGATCTTTATTTATTGATCACCAATGAACAACACCTGTAACCTGCTGATTCTTCACAAAGACTGGATCAGACTGAGCCCCCTCCTCTAAGATCAGACCCACAGACTCTATGGTCAAATTGGCTCCGCCCCCCGTCATTATAAGAAGCCGATTGGCTCTCAGTATTTCTGGGATTTTCTCCACTTCCTGGAACCTTCACTCACTCATAAATGGACCTGAGTCTGGAAGTGGGTTAGTGTGGTTCTGGGACCGGGCCGGGCTGAGGCGCCATCTGACAGGTCAAAGGTCATGTGTTTGCATGAGTGAGGGGGTGAGGGTGAGTGAGGGGGTGAGGGTGTCTTCCTGAGGTTTAGTCAGCTGTTGGCATCTCCAGGATCTAGTCACCAACACATGACTGAACAGACGGGAGAGAGTGTGTGTGTGTGTGTGTGTGTGTGTGTGTGTGTGTGTGTGTGTGTGTGTGTGTGTGTGTGTGTGTGTGTGTGTGTGTGTGTTTGTTAGTATGCGTTAGTGTGTGTGTTGATTGGGGGGTGGGCCGGGTCATAAATAGGTCTGTGGTCGCTCAGCTCTATTTTAAGATCTCATGAATGTTCAGACTCTGGCGTCCTCGGAGTCGCTCATAGCTGGTCAGGCTGCTGAACATGAACACATGAACACATGACCACGAGAACACATGACCACATGACCCCATTATAGTTATAGAATCATTAATACATCATTAATATAAAGATTATTCACTCATGCTCACTCCACACCTGTTCTAATGCTCGCTCCGTCCCTCTGCTTCACTAACACACACTGAGTCTGTTTAACCTCTCTCCTACCTGTCTCCTCTCATGTCCCGCCCACAGCACAATCTGATTGGGCAGATTTCACACACCTGTGTTGAGGTACCTGAGCAGTAGCTGTTAGTTTGGGTTTGACTGTAAATCCAGAATCAGGTCAGAACCTCAGTGTAAGTAAAAGACGGTATCAGAGTATCGGCCTTCAGGTCCAGCAGATGGACCTCATGAAGAACCAACACCAGAATCATCAGCTGAAGGAGAACCATAAAAACCTATATTCAGGATCAGTCCATCAAGTCAGTCCTAGTTTAGTCTCTAACTCGTGTTTCTGCAGATATTTCAGGATGTTGTTCATCCCTGAAAACCAACAGAATGAGAGTAAACAGAACTGTCATCTTCAGAATACAGCAGGACAAAAAAGTGGTCTCCCATGGTCAACTTACCCCGTGTATGGGGGGGTAAGTTGACCATAGGAGCGGGGTAAGTTGAGCCGCATCCCTACTCTCCCTCACCTTCTCTCTGCCTAAATAACAGTCACTTCTTCACATTCATGTGTATTTTTACCTATTATACTATATTCTACGGTGGCTGATACATAAAAAAGTCACAACAGAAGTTAACAACGCAAAAAAAAACAAAAAAAAAGGGATGCAAAAAAAAGTTACTCACTGGGAAATTAAAAGGATACAAATAAGGGCCCGACTGATATTGATTTTTGGGGGCCAGTATCGATTATTATTATTATTGGTCGGACTGTAATGCAAATAAAAAAAGTCACAACCCAAGTGAGCTGATGATGATGATGCATCAGTGTTTTAAGATCGAGACACAGAAGACGACGGCGAGAAGACGAGCAAAGAAGTCAGTGTAAAGGTTATTGATTAATTTCACTTTGTAAACTTTTTAATGTGGGTAGACCGTGTAGCGCCTGAGTCCATATGAAGATGAACTGAAGCTAATAGTGTTAACTTCATATGGACTCAGGCGCTACACGGTCTACCCACATTAAAAAGTTTACAAAGTGAAATTAATCAATAACCTTTACACTGACTTCTTTGCTCGTCTTCTCGCCGTCGTCTTCAGTGTCTCGATCGTAAAACACCGGTGTAACATCATTATTGGTCCCCGGCAGCTCACTTCTGTTTTAATGTTTTTTATTTACATCCTTTTATTTTCGCAGTATGTAACTATTTTTTTTCCACCACCTCTTTTTTTTTTTTACTTTTTTAACTTCTGTTATGACTTAAATTTTTTTTGCATTCTTTTTATTTGCAGCAGCGGCAGTTCTCGGCCATCGTACTATTCAACTGGTACAATAATGCGCTTTGTTATTATTACTTATAACTGCTAAAAAAAAAAACATTTGAAGATGAGAATGTCTTTAAGTGACTGAGAACATTCACAGATCTGTATTTTAGAAAAGAAAAAGTTTCAACAATCTGAAGATAAACTCTGATCCTCTCCTCAGACTGAACCACTATGATGACTTTATTAGTCCTCTAAGATAAAATGGTGGACTTTGAGGTTTTTGACCTCATGTTGGCGCTCATAGATACCACGGTTGATGTAGAAAAACTAATTTAAAATGATCTTTTTTCCTGATCAAACTTCTGACTAAATTCACTTTACAGAGTGTAAATAAATGTCGAACCTCTTCTTCACCCATGAGCTTCGAACCCTCACAGACTACATGAATTGATGCTCATCTCCTAAAGATTTGGTCACATGATCAATTTCTTTGACCATTTCAAAGCAACAGGGGGTGGCTCAACTTACCCCAGTCTCCCCTATTCCTGAATCAATAACCAGGCAGTAAGTTTTAATAAATGAACTTAAACTGTTTCAGATCCTTCATCCTGGTCCACTCTGAGTCCGGTTCTGTTCCTGACTGTGTGAACCTGTTTCTGACCCGGTTTCTGTTTCAGTTTGTGGACCCGGATCAGGTCCGGACTCACCTTCTTCATGATCCCGGTCTTCCTCTTGCTGAAGGTCGTGTACCTCCTCAGCTTGTTGTCGATGAACTCCATCTTGATCTTGACCCGTCCCCGGGTCTTCTTCCCCGGCTTGGCCCCGGCCACCCCTCCGGGCACCAGGCCGAACCCTCCGGGCGGGACCCCCCCGGCCTCCTGCCCGCTCCCCGCCGCCTCCAGCTCCGCTCTCTCCCGCTTCACCCCCCTCCTGCTGTCCCCGAGTGAACCCACCGGGTCCTCATCGTCCCCGGAGTCAGAGTCGTTCTCGGACCCGGAGCAGAGCGGACCGCCCTCCCGGTCCGGATCGAAGCGGGCTCCGTGAGGCAGAACCACCCCGGCGTTCAGCGCCACCATGCCGCCCTGGACCGAACCCTGGAGCGGACTCATCCCGCTGCCGTTCCCGGACCTCACTCCCCTCAGTCCGCCCGGTCCGTTGGTCCCCAGAATCCCAACAGAGTCCCGGTCGCTGTCTGAAGCCAGAACCACCTGCCCCCCTCTGACCAGGACCGGACGGATCCCGGTACCGACAACTCCGGACCCGTGTCCCGACGTCCCTCGACTTGAAGCGGATCCGTTTCCTGGCGGTGCCGTTCCGACCCGGCTCGGTAACATCCTCGTCAGTGGACCGAGTCCGTGGAGACCAGCCGAACCAGCCGGAGCGCGCGGTCCCGTGAAGCGCCGATCAAACGCATGCGCGTGGGCCTGACAGTGTAAACACGCGAGTCGGTGTTCGGTCCGGAAGGTCCAGGTAAGAGCCGAGTCAAAGTTCGGAAAGTGAGGCTGAAAGGCCGCTGTGCCGGTCCGCCCTCCTCCTCCTCCTCTACCTCCAGAACTCTGAGGAGAACTTTCTCTAAAAGGAAACCCCGACAGCGACCCGAGTACACCTCCGCCGGGTCACATAGTCCGCTCAGTGGACCGAACACAGCGCTGGTTTTGAGTCTCTGACACCGACGAGTTCGTGAACCCGGACCCACACACGGAAAGTTTACCTCTTTCTGACGCAGAAATCACTTTAAACACGCACGTTTGTTACCGCCTTTAGGGCCGCGGAGGGATACCACAACACACGGACTACTTTCCTCCATATAAAGAGATACAGCGTTTCCTTATTTGGTGCTGTCGCTCCTTATTTGGTGAGTCACTGCGCCGCCTCCTGATTGGATAAGGGTTATCTGAGCAGCGCTGTGATTGGCCGGTGAGGCGGGCTCATTGGAATAAATACCAAAATGGTTGCGAGACCAACAACGTCAGAGAGAGAGAGACAGAGTAAAAAGAGAAATAATAGGAGAGAGAGGAAGAAAGAGAGAGAGACTGAGAGAGAGAGAGAGAATAAAAAGAGAGAGGGGAGAGAGAGAGTGTAAAAAGAGAGAAAATAGGAGAGAGAGAGAATGAGAGAGAGAATAAAAAAAGAGAGAGAGAGGGAGAATTAAAAAAAGGGAGAGAGAGAAACCAACAAGATCCGAAACATAGAGATTAACCTTGTTAGATGTTCCTTTAAGAACCTTAGAACCTTGTTATGATATATCTGATATTTGGTCATTATTATTATTATTGTTATTATTATTATTATTGTGTTTAATTATTACAATTATTATTATCATTATTATCATAATCATTATCATTTTTATTATTAGTAGTAATAGTAGTAGTAGTAGTAGTAGTAGTAGTATTACATTATTACTATTATTATTATTATTATTATTATTATTATTATTATTATCATTATTATCATAATCATTATCATTTTTATTATTAGTAGTAATAGTAGTAGTAGTAGTAGTAGTAGTAGTAGTAGTAGTAGTATTACATTATTATTATTATTATTATTATCATTATTATCATAATCATTATCATTTTTATTATTAGTAGTAATAGTAGTAGTAGTAGTAGTAGTAGTAGTATTACATTATTACTATTATTATTATTATTATTATTATCATTATTATCATAATCATTATCATTTATCATTATTATTATTAGTAATAGTAGTAGTAGTATTACATTATTATTATTATTATTATTATTATTATTATTTTATTATTATTATCTTATTATTGCAGGAGGACATAGATCCTGTTAGTGACACATAGATAGACTGTTGTGGTCCAGATCAGCTCTGACAGAGAGTCCTGATCCGGGACACCAGGACCAGAAACTGAAGCAGAAAACTCAGAGTCAGCAGTTTAATATCTGATCACTGATTTGACCTCTGACCTATTCCTGCTGCGAGTTCAAACAGCGTTTAAATGATCGGGTTAGTTTTCTGTGTCTGTGTTAGAGTCGATGCTGAAAACTCCGCCCACCCGTCTGCTGCTGCAGGTTCAAACAAATTCATCAAAGTATTTGAAAATGGATCTTCAGCTGAGACTTGTCGACTCTGACGCTGCAGCTGGACGACCACGAGGACGAGAGGGAGGAAGAGATCTCCACAGAGCTGCAGGAGGAGCTGAGAGAGAGCAGACTCTGCAGAGACACACCTGTGCAGGTGTCTCTCAAAGGTCCATTTAATGTGATTGTCTGAAGGTGGTTCCTCTCAGATATCTCAGGTGAGTTTCTACAGTCCTCCACATGAAACAACCATGAACACGGTCTCTAACCCAACAGGTTAACAGCCGCTAAACTCAGACTGAGCTCCTTCCTCACAGCAGATTCAGTGTTATTAAGGTTCGAAAAGAGGCGTCTACTGCCCCCTAGTGGTCAATGACAGACTGGTTTGGATTGGCAGATAGTGAAGGTGGTGCTTTCAGAGAAGAACTGCATTAAACTTAATCATTATGCTTCTTGATAGTTAAGGGGTAATTTTTTTTTTTTTTACAGGAGAGCAGCAGGTCCATGGTTAAGGTTGTTAAGGTCTAAAAGAGGACTAAAAGTCTCTGAACAAACAGACATGCGTCGTAAAAACTCTCATAATAAAAATTTCCTTTATATTTTGTATTAATTTTCCTCTTTGACCTCTGACCTGTTTTAAAGGAGCGGCCTCACTCTGTTCTGACAGGCCGCTCTTGTTTACACACAGTTAGAAAATCAACCTGCAGAGACTTGCTGCTGCTGCTGCTGCAGGTCGATGATAAACCGACGAGAAGATTTCCTCACCTTCACTTTTGTTACATAATAAGAATAAGATTGAGAGTTTGGACTCTGTGATCCAGAGCCCAGACCTGAATCCTGACGAACATTTGTGGGGTGATCTGAAGAAGGCTGTGCACAGGAGATGTCCTCACAATCTGTCAGATTTGGTTTCACAAAGAAGAGTGGGCAAATATTTCCACATCAAGATGTTCTACGCTGATAGACTCCTATCCAAAAAGACTGAGTGCTGTAATAAAAGCCAAAGGTGCTGCGACAAAGTCTTAGTTTAAGGGTGTGCATATTTATGCAACCAGGTTATTTTAACTTTTCTGTTTTTTATTTTTCCCCTTGAAGGTTTCAGTTTGTTTTTCAGTTGTGTTGTTCAGGTTATAGGTCACATTAAAAGTGGAAAAAGTTGTATAAATATTTATCTTGCTGTTATTTTCTTACATCACGATAACCTGGCAGTTGAACAGGAGTGTGTCGACGTCTTATATCCACTGTATCTGGTCCTGGTTCAGTTTGAACCTCATTAGTAGATGCAGTGATGAACTGAGTTTTTGAAGTGATTCTGAGTCCATGTGGTGATTTCCACTTTGGAAAGTGGTTTTGGTTCTGGTCCCTTTAGTTCAGACGTCTCTCTGAATTATCTGATGTTCTGCATACGATGAAATCCACTCAGGAACTGTTGACCTGTCGGCTCACACGGTCTCTCACAGAGTCCTGAACCTCCTCCTGAAGACTCCGCCCCTTCACAGACACGTAACTGACAGCAGGTCTTGGATCAGTAGTCCCCATAGACTGTATCTAGAATAGACGCCGTCTGCCTCCCTTCTCTGAGAACAGCGCCCTCTGGTGACAGGCTGCAGTATAGGTCATAAACCCCGCCTCCTTATGGAGCTGTGGACAAACTTAATAAATGAATGACACAGAATATAAATGTTTCTCCCCCCTGGTTGTGATGTTGACATGTAGTTACTGTCAGACTGGTTTGTGCTCAAGTCCTCTTTTTTCTGTACAGCTCCATTTTTAAAAGTTATTAGGGGGTTCATGTTTTCAATGATTGACACCTGATACAGCCTATGGGAGGACAGAGATTGAGTAGATCACAGAGAACTTTTCAGCTTCAGATCCGTGTACAGATGGGAGGCGGAACCAAGTTGTCCAGAGTAAATACAGTCTGTGGTCGTCCCCTCTGATGGGGTTGAGGTCGATTTGTTGGTTGTTTAAAGAAAACGTTTTAAATCCGAGTTTGTTTGTGTTTTTTTTCTGCTGCATGAACGAGAAGAGACTCGGTGGTAAAAACACTGTGAACATTTATTGACAGCAGCATGTATACTTTAGTAAATATCAGGATTATTGTGAACATTTGCTGAAGCAGATTAAAAAACACGTCTAGGTGTGAGAAGCATTCATAAAAAGGAAAAAACAAAGTATAAAAACAACAGCTTCATACACAAAAAGGCCTTTGATTAGATAAAAACAGTGAGGAGGAGAATTTTCCTTCATTTAGCAGGCACTTATAGGAGTGTTGAAGTCGGCGCCGTCAGCCGTCGGCGGCCTGAGCGCGCTCTGATTGGACCGACAGAGAGAGAAGTACCTTCCTGTTAGTTAAAAAAAGAGAAAACAGGACCTTCATTATAAATAAAGAGGCGCCTGCATGTCGGTCTACACAACACGACAGAGAGAGAGAGAGAGAGAGAGAGAGAGAGAGAGTTAGTGCACAGCTCCTACTGTATGTATGTATGTATGTACACGCCGTCTGTCTGCACACGCCCAGCAGACACACACTCTGATTATTGGGAGGCGGCGTCCCTGTAACAGGAGAACCTCGCCATCATGGGCGTTCTGACCCGTTTGTGCTGACCCAGAAGAACCTTAAAGTTCAAAGACGAACACACTCAAAAACGGACACGCTCACGCTCACGCTCACGCTCGCCACGTCTTTCTTCAACTTCCTGAAGTTTCACCGACCGAAAACTGACCAGTAACAGACCGGAGACCTCCATCCAGAACCAGAACCAGAGTCCACTGGTTTCAAGGAAGGCCAGAGTAACACACACACACACACACACACACACACACACACACACACACACGCACACGCACACACACATACACACACACACACACACACGCACACGCACACACACATACACGCACGCACACACACACGCACACGCGCGCACACACACACACACACACACACACGCACGCTTGTTTTACAAGTTAAATGAAACTGAATTAAAAACCTCCTGTGAGTCCGACTGTGTGTGTGTGTGTGTGTGTGTGTGTGCGTGTGTGCGTGTGTGTGTGTGTGTGTGTGTGTGTCCATAGTGTAACAGGCACTGAGGTGGTGAGGATGTGGGAGTGGGATGGTGGATCAGGACTCCTGTGTGTGTGTGGGGGTGATTTTGGGGGTCCAGTTGGTGGTCCACATGAGTCTGTTTCCTCTGAGAGTCTGGTCCACATACACACACACGCACGCACGCACACACACACACACACACGCATGCACACACACATACACACACAGACATGGTTTGAAATGCATAAAGAGTTTCTCTTCTCCTCCTCCTCCTCCTCCTCCTCCTCCTCCTCCTCCTCCTCCTCCTCCCTGAAATGTGTGGATTTCCAGCATCGTGTCTTTGTACTTGGGGGGGTTGGGAGTTTGCTCCAAGCCTCCCCCCACCGACATGGCGTGATGATGGCGTCCTCAGACTTTGCTGTCAGACGGCGGCTCTCCCAGCGCCTGGACGATGTCGGTGAAGGAGGGCCGCTCCTTCAGGCTGAGGGACCAACAACGAGACATCAGCTTATAGATCTTTGAGGGACATCCGTCAGGAGGAGGGAGCTTCAGCGTCCCGCCCTGGAGACCTGCAGAGACACAGAGGGAGGACAGGGTGAGGGTCTGGAGGTGGTCTGTAAGAAGGTCCGGGTCAGATCTTCTCTGCTGTCTGGACTCTGTTGTGATATTTTGACAATAATTTTAAATCAATAAATTAACTCTGTTGTTAATCCAGAGGCTTTAATCCCAGATTAAATCGGTCTGATCATGATTTTGAGCGAGTCATTCACTTTGGTTGGTCGACTGTTACTCTGTTTACGTCGACCAAACAAAGTTCTTGTTAGTTTTTAAATCTTTAAACGGATCAGAACCACAGTTCATCTCTGACCTCTTCAATGTTCCCTGATATCAGCTGATCAGCTCAAACTCCTCGTCCCTAAAACTCGTTTAAAATCCCGTGGCGACTGAACTTTCTCGGCTGTGGCGCCCAAACTGTCGAGATGAAAACATCTCCGACTCTTTCTCCTTTTGAATCACGTCTTAAAACTCATTTTTATTCCTTTTATGCTTTTATTTATTTTATTTTATCGACCTTCTTCTTCTTCTTCTTCTTCTTCTTCACGGGTTCTGACTGAGGATTCAAAGCCAAACCTTCGTACTGACCTTCCAGCACCTCGTCATCGCTCATTTTGGCGTGTGGCATTTCTCCGTGGCTGAAGACCTCCCACATCAGAACGCCGAAGGCCCAGACGTCCGACTTGGTGGAGAAGTCGTCCTCGAACACGGACTCAGAGGGGAGCCAACGCAGCGGGATCCACGCCTGACGGTAATGGAAGTACTCACTGTGTGTGTGTGTGTGTGTGTGTGTGTGTGTGTGTGGGGAGAGAGAGAGAGAGAGAGAGAGAGAGAGAGGTCAGCCGGAGGAGCAGAATCTCAGGAGATTACCACTTCATCAAGCGCGGTTAATGGTTAGCGAGGTTAACGTAATCCAGACCTGTTAATGAGGTTAACTTAATCCAGACCTGTTAATGAGGTTAATTTAATCCAGACCTGTTAATGAGGTTAATTTAATCCAGACCTGTTAGCGAGGTTAACTTAATCCAGACCTGTTAAAAAGGTTAATTTAATCCAGACCTGTTAACGAGGTTAACTTAATCCAGACCTGTTAATGAGGTTAATTTAATCCAGACCTGTTAATGAGGTTAATTTAATCCAGACCTGTTAACGAGGTTAATTTAATCCAGACCTGTTAACGAGGTTAATTTAATCCAGACCTTTTAACGAGGTTAATTTAATCCAGACCTGTTAACGAGGTTAATTTAATCCAGACCTGTTGTAGACGTCCTTGCTCAGGCTGAGTGACGACACCTTCACACGCCTCTGACTGTTGATCAGACAGTTCCTGGCGGCGAGGTCTTTGTGAACGAAGCGATGATTGGACAGGTGCTCCATCCCATGAGCCACCTGGGCACAGATCGAAACCTGCGGAGACACAGAACAAAGGTTGATGTTCTACATCATGACCAGCAGGGGGCGACTCCACTACAGTTAATCTATAGAAAGTGTTCTCAGCTGGTTAATCTGGGTGTCTTAATCTGAGTTCTCAAACTCAGATTATAGTCGGACTAAGGTGTTTACATGGACTTCAGTTGTCTGATCTTAATCGGAATAAGGCGATAATTCGGTTTTCTCGAGTGTCATGGAAACGGACTGAGTGTTTGCATGGATGGATGTTTTTGCAGGTTGACCTGTTGGTCACATGACTCTTACTTTGGTCTTGGTGCTGATTGGCTGAGATTTGTTCTTGTCGTCTTTGCTTTTGGAGATTCTCAGGAACTGTTTGAGGTCACCCTGAGGACGAAAGGGACGAGGATCAGAACCAATCAGAAACACTCTGGATGTGTGTGTGTGCGTGTGTGTGTGTGTGTGTGTGTGTGTGTTACCAGGTCGTAGTACTCCAGGATGGTGTAGTGTGGCTCCGCCTCCCGGCACAGACCCAGCAGGCGGACCACGTTCTGGTGGTTGAGTTTGGCGAACATCTCGGCCTCGCGGCGAAAGTCGAGCTGCAGCTGTTCGTCTCTGCTCTGAAGACTCTTGACCAGAACCACCGTCTCGTCCTCGCCACCCTCCAAACCTTTCGCCTTACACAGCAGCACCTCTCCGAACTCACCTTTACCTGAACACACACACACACACACACACACACACGTTACCACGAGGAGCACAGCGATCGGCCAATCAGGGAGCAGTGGATGGATGATGTCATACCCAGGGTGGTGATGGTCTGCAGGTCGGCGCGGGGGAAGTGCAGCTTGTCGTTGTTGACGTGACTGTGGCGTTTCTCAGTGGTTGCCATGGTACCCATGTTTGTGAGCGCCACCTCCTCCTGGATCTCAGTGGTGGTGTGACCGTTCTGCTGGACGGCTCCCCCTGGTGGACAGGAGACACACCCACAGGGTCAAAGGTCACAGACAGACACAGTCTCCATGGTAACAGATATGGTTAAGATCATCAGGAGACCCTGAAGTGGGTCTGTCTCCTCTGTTCTTTGTTTATAAAAATTCGAGTTCCTGAAGAACCAGCTGGAGGTTCTGGAGATGTTTGTGATGGTCCGACCTGTGAGGAGGATCTTCAGTCTCTGAGGAACTAAAGGAGAACACAGCTGCAGTACCAAATACAGACACTAGAAGGCAGCAGTAGAACACAGCTGCAGTACCAAAAACAGACACTAGAGGGCAGCAGCAGCTCAACGTCCACTTCTCAACAAGCATGAGCGGACCAGGACTGAGGAGATCCAGAGACTCTTTAGTCTGAAGATTCAAAGACCCTGAAGGACGTTTTGGACCAAAAAACGAAAAAAATCTTCAAAAATTTTCAGATTTAGGAAAAAAAAAAACTTTTTTAGCAAAAAATTTTTTCTAAAATATCGTTCAGGCACTCAGGCTCCTCCTCCTCCTCACTCTAGCCCCCTCCTCATCTCCTCCTCACTCTATCCCCCTCCTCCTCCCCTCCTCTCCTCCTCCTCTTCCCCCTGTCCTCCCTCTCCTTCTCCTCAAACCTTCGTACCGTTCAGACACTCCATCTCAGGCTCCTCCCCTTCCTGTCCTTTCTGCTGTCTCTTGGCGTTTCGTCTCTTCTTGCAGTAGAACATCAGTCCCAGAACCACGATGATGTAAGCGACGGCGGCGCCAACGGAGAGTCCGATGGTCTGGATCATCTTGTACGGAGCTTTCTCCTCGCTCTCGTCCATGGCGTGATTCGGTTTATCTGAGGGGGGGAAAAAAGAGGTGAACTTCAGCGTCCTGTGTGTGTGTGTGTGTGTGTGTGTGTGTGTGTGTGCGTCTGATCACTCACCCACGACGAAGAGTTTGGCGACTCGGTCTCTGATGCTGCAGCTGTTTCCTGCCACACAGGTGTACCTGCCCGTGTCTTCTGAGGTGACGTCTCTGATCAGCAGGGAGCCGTTCGCCATCTTCTGGATCCTGAGGGGGGGTTAATATTTAGAGGTCCCTTCTTCACTGTAACTCCGTAAATATATGATCACATAAACCAACAAAGAGATTTTTTCATTCATCTCAGATTAAATAGTTTTGAAATTAAATATTTACTGATTTTTATAATTACATACGAACTGTTTAAAATAATATATTTAATGTTTGTATTATTACAGATTAACTGTGTTTAAAATTACATTGACTGTTTTCAGAATTAAATATTTAATGTTTTAATTATTAAAAAATTAACTGAGTTTGTAATCATATATGTAACATTTTTATAATTACAGATTAACTGTTTATAATGAAATATTTAATGTTTGTATTATTATCATAAAATAAACTGTTTCAAATTATATATTTAATGTTTTTATTTTTATACATTTTCTGTTTTTATTATTAAAAAACTTTTTATAATTAAATATTTCAGTTTTTTTACTGTTATAAATTTACTATTTTTATTATTATAAATTAACTGTGTTTATAATTAAATATTGACTGTTTTTTATTATAAATTTACTGTTTTTATTATTATAAATTAACTGTGTTTATAATTAAATATTAACAGTTTTTTATTATAAATTTACTGTTTTTATTATTTAAATTAACTGTGTTTATAATTAAATATTTACAGTTTCTTATTATAATTTTACTGTTTTTATTATTGTTATTATTATTGTTCCTTTATTATAAATGTATTGTCGGTGGCGTTGCTCTGATCCGTACCTGGGGTTCCTGCTGGCGTCCAGCGCTCGGTCTTTGACCATCCAGTGGATGTGCGGTTCAGGGTCTCCAGAGGCCTGACAGTGAAGAACGGCGGTGTGACCCTGATACACGGTGGTGTTCTCCGGCTCCACCTTAAAGCGGATATACACTGGACACACACACACACACACACACACACACACACACACACAGTCATTACTCCCACACTCGTCTCCCTCCCTCCCCCTCGTTTCTCTGGTCCGGTGGTTAAACTCTCAGTCGCTCTCATTTCATTAGAGAAACCTCAGAGATGAAATGAGAAGATTCTTCCTGCAGATCTGAGAACTCGGTTTGACCCGAGGACGTCTGATCGATTCACGTAAAAACGCAAAAACAATGAGAGAACATGAAACCACAGGAGAGGGACACGATGAGAGGACGATGAGAGGACATGAAATCACAGCAGGAGACTCTGACTAAATGTTTTCTGACTCTGAACCCTTCAGTCTGGAATCGTCCCCCTCTCAGGTGACTCAGGTCAGTGTTTACCTGCCACATTGAGGGCCACCAGCGCTCGGATCTCCCCCTGCAGGCTGTTGGAGGCGATGCAGGTGTAGTTCCCGGCGTCGCTGCGCGTCACTTTGGTGAAATGAAGCTGACCGTTCCTCTGCTCCACATGGGGCGGCAGCTCTCCCCCGTCTGAAACAGAGAGACACGGGTGAGTGAGGGGAGAGACACGGGTGAGTGACTGAACTGAGGTTCCTGACAGCGTTCCTGTACTTTCAGGAGGTTCTGGTGTTTGTTAACTTCCCAGCTCTCACTGTCCTAAACCTCTGAGGGTCTAAAGAGACAGACGCTGAACAGACTGTTGTCTGACTGTTTCTGTGGTGATCTGAACTCTGAAGCTTCAAAATAAATTTAAGATAAAAATACAAAAAGAATAATAATTCTAAGAAGAGTTTCGACTCGTTCTGCTTTAAATCCAAACTCTGACCTGTTAGAAGAAAATCAAACAGAAACCTTCATCGAACTCTCTCTCTGACCTGCTTTGGTCCAGCGGACGGCGGGCGGCTCGCGACCTTTAGCCGAACACTGGATGGTGATCTGGTTGTCGAGTTCAAGGCACTGAGCGGGCTGAGGGGTCGGCGTGAACTTGAGCTTCTCTGAAAGTGAAAAAAACAGCCGAGATTCAGCCGAGGCGGCGAGTCCAGACACGTCCGAGAAAAAGACAGAGAGCATGAGAAAACAGCTGAGGAGAAGGGCTGACGGTCAGGAAAACAGGCAGAAAAACAGTCAGGAAACAATCGGTAAACAGTCAGAGAACAGGCAGAGAAACAGTCAGTAAAACAGTCAGTGAAACAGTCAGAGAACAGTCAGTAAAACAGTCAGAAAACAGTCAGTGAAACAGTCAGAGAACAGGCAGAGAAACAGTCAGTAAAACAGTCAGTGAAACAGTCAGAAAACAGCTGAGGAGAAGGGCTGACGGTCAGAAAAACAGGCAGAAAAACAGTCAGGAAACAATCGGTAAACAGGTCAGAGAACAGGCAGAAAAACAGTCAGTGAAACAGTCAGAAAACAGCGGTAAACAGCTGAGGAGAAGGGCTGACGGTCAGAAAAACAGGCAGAAAATCAGTCAGGAAACAATCGGTAAACAGTCAGAGAACAGGCGGAGAAACAGTCAGTAAAACATTCAGTGAAACAGTCAGAAAACAGATGAGGAGAAGGGCTGACGGTCAGAAAAACAGTCAGAAAAATAGTCAGAGAACAGGCAGAGAAACAGTCAGTAAAACAGTCAGAAAAACAGCTGAGAGAGAGAGAGAGGAGGCCGAGAGCAGACAGTCAGAAAACAGTCGGTAAAACAGTCAGAAAACAGGCAGAACAGGAGCAGGACACGAGTAAAGAAACAGGCAGTAAATCTTCAGTCTGGTTTTAAATCCTCTCTCTCTGAAGCTTCACAGAAGTTCAAGAACTGAAACGGACCCAGATCCAGGGTCTAAAAAGAGTCTGGACTTCAGAGTCCATGAGGGTCCGTTTCAGTGGAGAAGATACATCCATGAGCTGGTCCCTGAACCCTGAACTCAAACCCAAGAGGAACTTCTCACATGAAGGACCATAAGAGGTTCTCTTACCCAGGACGGTAACCCTCGCCTGTCCGGACAGTCTCCCCGCCGCAGTCTGAGCCTCACAGCTGTAGACCTGTCCGTCATAGACCTCCACGTTATTGATCCTTAGAGTCCCGTTAGGAAACATCTTAAAACGAGAGTCCTGCAGAGACATGAGAGAACATCTGAGAACATCTGAGAACATCTGAGGAACATCTGAGGAACATCTGAGAATATCTGAGAACATCTGAGGAACATCTGAGAACATCTGAGGAACATCTGAGAATATCTGAGAACATCTGAGAACATACCACCCAGGAAGGTTCCTCTGTAAAGTCTATTAGACAGACATCAGTAACTGTGTGTGTTTCAGACCTGGTTCTGTAGACCCGGTTTTTCTGTAGACCCTGTACTGAGGACCGTTTCAAAAGGACTCTGAGAGTCTCATATCTGACCTCTGATGTGACCTCCATGCTGTTGCGGTACCAGGTGACCTCTGGTTCTGGGTTGGCCTGGGTGTGACAGTGAAGGTATCCTGGTCTTCCCTCCTCCAACAGGCTGTCCTGGGGCCGGACCACCCAGACCGGAGCCGCTGAGGAGACGCCATGAGAGGAGAGAGACTTTAGAAAAACCAGACTGGGGGGTCTGAATAAAGGTCTAGAACTGGAGGAGGTCTCCAGGACAGACCCTCCATGAAGTCTGGGTTAGGGGGTCTGGGGGTCTGGGTTCAGACGGCGTTAAATCAGACTCACTGGCCACGGTGAAGGTGACCTCCTGGGTCCTACGTCCCGCCTTGTTCTGGGCCACACAGGTGTAGGTGCCCGAGTCTCCGCCCTCTGTGGGACTGAAGACCAGATCCAGACCATCTTGGAAGACCCGGCCCTCCGTGGGGACCCGCAGACCTCCTCTTTCCCACCAAACATCAGGATCAGGTCTGCCGCGAGGAGGCCGGCACGCCACCCGCTGAAGAGTGTCCGCCGCGAAAACCTTCGCCATATTTGGGACCATGTCCTCGATATCTGGGGGGTTGAGAGAGAGAGACGGGGGAGACGGGGGTCAGGGGTCAGGGGCCAACATCTCAGTGAAGTCTGACTCAGAGACCTGCTCCAGTTCAGGGTCTGAATCGATCCGTGTCTCTCAGCAGATGAAGGACAGGAAGTAGTTTTAGTTTGAAGTGCAGTTTGAATATTGATATTTAATCCTTTGTAATCTGCAGGGATTAGCCTGAGATTAAGTGAATTACAGTTTTTAATGGAGCAGAGGTTCACTGGGTCTAAGCTGCAGAAGGATCTGCTTAATCCTGAACCTGAGGGTGAAGGACCCGAGAGGGAGACCGGAGAACATCCGGACACCGAGACACTGACCGAGACCACAGACCTGACTGAAGATTAGTCTACATATGGACTTGATTTAAGATTATTTCATATATATAGACCTGACTTTAGTTTAATCTTTATATATAGACCTGACCTAAGTTTATTCTTCATATATAGACCTGACTTAAGTTTATTCTTCATATATAGACCTGACTTAAGTTTATTCTTCATATATAGACCTGACCTAAGTTTATTCTTCATATATAGACCTGACCTAAGTTTATTCTTCATATATAGACCTGACCTAAGTTTATTCTTCATATATAGACCTGACTTAAGTTTATTCTTCATATATAGACCTGACTTTAGTTTAATCTTTATATCAGACCCAGGACCTAAGTTTATTCTTCATATATAGACCTGACCTAAGTTTATTCTTCATATATAGACCTGTTTAATGTTTTTGAGCACACCCCTGTCATTATATTGACCTGTGGTCTAAATCTGAAATGTCCCTCATATATAAACAAACATCAGCTGATTTTCAGATTATTGTCAAAGATTTTTAGTTGAAGGACGAAACAGAACGAGGACGACGTGAGAGAAGAAGAGTCAGGGTCACAAATGTGTGTGAGTGTGTGTACCTGCGATGAGGAGGGAGGCTTCTAGCGTGACTCGCGCTCCGCTGACGCCCTGGCCGACACACCTGTATGTACCTGTGTTCCTGGGTTTGACCTGCGTGATGAGCAGGGAGCCGTTGGACATCAGGAAGACTCTGAGGAGACGGAGACAGAGACGTGGGACAGAAATCAGCATAAAGGATAAATAATAATAAAAACAGAGTGTCTCTGTGTTTTCATGGTCAAAGGGTCTTAATGCACAAAAACAGTTTCACTGTGGATCTGAGAGTCTGACCTAAGAGGATCCAGTCCAATCAGAGACACAGAGCCAACTGACCGAACCAGAACCCGACCTGACCTCCTTAGTGAGTTCATTTAATCTATACTACATACATAGACCTGGCCTAAGATTATTCAACATATTTAGACCTGACTTAAGTTTGTTCTACATTTAGACCTGACTTAAGTTTATTCGACATATTTAGACCTGACTTAAGTTTGTTCTACATATAGACCTGACTTAAGTTTATTCGACATATTTAGACCTGACTTAAGTTTATTCGACATATTTAGACCTGATTTAAGATTGTTCTACATATTTAGACCTGACTTAAGTTTGTTCTACATATAGACCTGACTTAAGTTTGTTCTACATATAGACCTGACTTAAGTTTATTCGACATATTTAGACCTGACTTAAGTTTGTTCTACATATTTAGACCTGACTTAAGTTTGTTCTACATATAGACCTGACTTAAGTTTATTCGACATATTTAGACCTGACTTAAGATTGTTCTATATATAGACCTGACTTAAGTTTATTCGACATATTTAGACCTGACTTAAGTTTGTTCTACATATAGACCTGACTTAAGTTTGTTCTACATATAGACCTGACTTAAGTTTATTCGACATATTTAGACCTGACTTAAGATTTGTCCTTATATAGACCTGGCTTTAGTCTAAAAGTGAAGCAGGGTCAGAGGTCAGAGAGGAGACACGTACCGAGTCTTGTTGACCACAGGCTCGGTTTCATGGTACCACTCCAGCGTGGGGGCGGGGACGGCGGTGAACTGGCAGTGAAAGACCGCCTCCTCGTTCTTCAGAACCACCTGGTCCTCTGGAGTGACCACCGGTCTGGGGAAACTCTTATCTGTCAGAGAGAGAAAAACACGGAGATCACATCAGGATTATTAAAACCTGGAAACAGCGGCGTGGGGGGCGGAGTCAACAGATGACAGGTGGAGGTGAGTGAGTGTGTCAACACCTCACAGGCTTAATAAGGTCTGAACCTCCTCCTGAACCTCCTGAGTGAGGACTGAGTGAACCTCCCCACACACACACACACACACACACACCTATGATGTTGAGGGTGAAGTTGCTGTTGCTGCAGACGTGTCCGGCGGCGTTCTTGGCGCAGCAGTAGTACAGACCGTTATCGTCCGGGCTGGCGCTCTTGATGGCGAGCGTCCGCTCTTTGTTGTTGATCTGATGGCTCTTCTCTGTCAGCTTCACGCCGTCCTTAAACCACTGACAGGTCGGCCTGAGGGGGGAGGGGTTAAAGAGGACGAGGATTAAAAAGACGATAAAGTGAGAGAAGAAGTGACCAGAGGAGGGGGCGGAGCCTCACCGTGGGTGTCCATCAATGTGACAGCGCAGCGTTACGGGCGCAGAGCTCTCGATCTCACCCTCGGACGCCGGCTCCTTCAGAGTCACGCCGCCGCTCTCCAACCCTGAGGAAGAAGAAGGAAACAAGGAAGAGCGTGAGGAATCGAGGAGAGAGGACGGAGAGCAGACTTGGAGAGCGACCGGGTCTCTGAGTCGGACTCTAAACGCCGACCCGAAGAGTCTGTTCGGTTCTTTTTACAGGACAAATGAAAGCAGCAGGAATAAACGGAGAGTCTTAGACGGTTTATGAAGAGAGACCAGAACCTGCTGCAGCCAGGAGAGGAGAGAACAGCTGATCAAACCAGAACCAGAGGAAACAGAACCATCTCAGAACCAGAGAGAGAGAGAGAGAGAGAGAGAGAGAGAGAGAGAGAGAGAGAGAGGGAGAGAGAGGGAGAGAGAGAGGGATAGAGAGAGAGAGAGAGGGAGAGAGAGAGAGAGAGAGAGGACGTCCTGACTGAATCAAACATGAGATCAACCGATGAAGCTCGATGTCGATAACTCTGACGATAACTCTGGAGTGGGAATCACCACATGGACTTAGAACCTGGTTCTCTGTGAAGTGGGCTCTCCTGGGTCCACCAAAGTGGAGCTGAGGACACACCGGGATAAACAAACCAAATGAAGTTTATGGTGTTTGTCTGTGACTCAGAGATAAACTCCTGACATGGAGGCGGAGCTCTCTGGAATTCCCCTCCGCTGTTGAGGTGAACTAACGTGATTCAGGTGATGATATATATTTACACTGTGGTTACAGGACATGATTTACTGCAGCGTCAGCGGGGTTCCTGTGTGTGTGTGTGTGTGTGTGTGTGTGTGAGACTGAAGCTCTGTTCCTACAGCCTGAGGAGAAATCTGCAGCTCAGTTTCTGCTAACGTTCAGATCATCCATGAAAAATGTTCGCTATGAGAGAGAGAGAGAGAGAGAGAGAGGGAGAGAGAGAGAGAGAGGGAGAGGAGAGTGACGACAGGGGGAGTCACCAGGAGAGACCGGTATCCTAGACCATCAAATTAAGACTGACTGAGAGCAGAAAACAGTCAGGAAACAAAACGATGTTCCAGCGTCACAAAACAGACGATTTCATCCAAAACAAGATCAGGAAAAACAACAAGAATATTTGGGAAAAACACAACAGAGAATATTAATTTATATATAAATGAGAAACTTCAACAAAGAGGAGGAGGAGGAGGAGGAGGAGGAGGAGGAGCACAGTGAGGAGACTGAAGCAGAGGAGGAGAGCGAGTCTGATAGAGCGACAGTTTTTCTGTGAACATGTGTGAACCTGTCAGAACCAACAGGTGGGTGTGACCTGGATCAGGTGATCCAAACCGTCAGAATAAACCCGAGAGACTTTATTATGACACATACACACACGTGCGCGCAAACACACACACACACACACTGTGAGTGAAACCGGTTTCCTGCAGAGACCCTGAAGTGTCAGAACTCTGAAGATCCTCACAGTCCCACTGACACACTGAACCCAGTCCAGGTCCGGTTCTGGTCTGCCTGACACCCCAAAGCTTCACCTGAACCCTGAGTCTGACCTCAGCTCACCTGTGAGGTAAACAGGTGAGAGAGGTGACCACCTCTGATGGTCATCTCTGACAGTCTGACCTCCTGGACCACCATCAATGATATTAATAACCATATCATCATCAACATCATTATCAATATCATTATCAATATGATTATCAATATGATTATCAATATGATTATCAATATGATTATCAATATCACTATCAACATCATTATCAATATGATTATCAACATCATTATCAATATGATTATCAACATCATTATCAATATGATTATTAACATCATTATCAATATGATTATCAACATCATTATCAATATGATTATCAACATCATTATCAATATGATTATTAATATCATTATCAATATGATTATCAACATCATTATCAATATGATTATTAATATCATTATCAATATGATCATTAACATCATTATCAATATCATTATTAACATCATTATCAATATGATTATTAATATCATTATCAATATGATTATCAACATCATTATCAATATGATTATTAATATCATTATCAATATGATTATCAACATCATTATCAATATGATTATTAACATCATTATCAATATCATTATTAACATCATTATCAATATCATTATTAATATCATTCATTGAATTCTTCGAGTTCTTCAGTTTAATTGGATTTACAGCCTGACCCGGATTTTCTGACGGCTCCTGGTTCTGACTCACAGCTCGGGTTTCTGCAGACAGGAGGCGCTCTCTCTCTCTCTCCCTCTTTCCCTCTCTCTCTCCCTCTCCCTCTCTCTCTCTCTGCAGCTATTAGAGCAAATATCTGAGCGATCGTGTCGGAGCGCACGGCGAGCGTTGGAGCAGCGGCGCCGTCATTAGAGCGCCGTCATTATTCTGTTGGAACTGAAGAGGAAACTCCGTCAGCACCATCATGATAATGGATGAAACCTGAGGAGGTGGAGGAGGAGGAGGCAGATGTTTAGACTAACCTCAACCTCTGTGTGTGTGTGTGTGTGTGTGTGTGTGTGTGTGTGTGTGTGTGTGTGTGTGTGTGTGTGTGTGTGTGTGTGTGTGTGTCACTCACTGAGATCATTTGTAGCCCTGCAGTGAAGGTGGATCAGGTTCTCTCAGCTGTGATTTGACTGACAGGAACATGTGTGTGGAAACATCTCAAACACGTCTCTGAGCAGCTTTAACAAAACGCCATCGTGACAAACAGAACCGAGGTTCTGAAGAACCAAACTGAGGTTCTGAAGAACCAAACCGAGGTTCTGACAAACAGAACCAAAGTTCTGACAAACAGAACCAAAGTTCTGACAAAGTCATCAGCAGCTGCTTCTCGTAGCGGTTGAACTTTGTCCTTCATTTCAGACGTTTTTCAAACCCACTTCTGTCGGGTCGGGTCGGTTCTGATGAGTTTAGACATGTCAGTCTGAGTCTGGCTGCCTCACAGGGATGGACCCCCCAAAAATAAAAACCCCTTACACTTGGAAACAGCCCCCCAGCCGTCAGAGCGTCCGTGTTTACATGATGATACAGAGACGCCTCTGCTGGACGCCATGTCACCATGGAGATGGGTAAAACAAAGGGGGGGGGGTGTCTGACAGGAGCAGCCCCCCCCCCCACTGTGAGGAAGTCCAGCGTTAGAGCGAGTTCTGGTTCTGTGACACGGACTGGAAACCTCCTCTCTCCTCTACAAACAAATCCTGGTTCTGATTTGAGGTGAGAAGATAAACTCTGGTCTCCTTCCAGAACAAACACACGTGTGAGCGCGCTGCGTGGGAACGGCGCTGACCTGGCAGATCAAACAGTTTATTCTGGGTCAGCTCTGACAAACTGGAGCTTCATGTCTGACTGGTTCCTCTGATCTGTGGGAGTCTGAACGACAAACCTCATCATGTTTAATTACAACATGTGAGGGCAGCTCTCCCTTCACACAGAGGAGGACGACGAGATCCTGCTGTTCTGTCGCCGTACCAACGTCATCGTTCAGACCTCAGAGCTCAGATCCGTCTCTGCTCCTTCTTCCAGGAGGTCCGGACACTGGTTCTGTTTCTGTAATCAGCCTCTGAATCAGAAACTTCACCGCAAAGAGAGAAAAAAAACTCCGGATGGATGCAACTTATTCCAGATGGAGGCATTTTTCAGCCGCTCTGAAAAACACAAAAGCTCCTCCGACTTTAACCTGAGGGCGCCAACAAAACACCGCCATGTTGTTTTTTAACCCCGGAGAAGTTCCCATGGACGGCGCTGAAACCGAAGAGGCCGGCTCTGAAAGAAGGACTCACTAATGAGGCTGAAAGTGTGAATGAAGGAGAAGAACTTCATCAGAGAGTGTGTGTGTGTGTGTGTGTGTGTGTGTGTGTGTGTGTGTGTGTGTGTGTGTGTGTGTGTGTGTGTGTGTGTGTGTGTGTGAAAAAAAGGAGAAAAGAGAGAAAGAAGAATCTGGTGTTTGTTGGCGGAGAGGTCGAGTTTCCTCCGCAGAAACATTCCTGTCACCCGATCCGCCATCTTTGTTTTCTCCTCCTTTTGAAGCAGAACCCGGCCCCTCCCCCTCGCTGTGGGTCTGAAACTCTGTCAGCTGTAAAGATGGCGGCTCGAATCAAACACTCACACTTGATGTTGAAGGAGGCGTTGGTGGACAGGAGCACCTCCCCCGTGGTCGGTTTCTCCGCTCGACACTTGAAGTTCCCGGCGTCCAGCTGCCGGTCCACCGCCGTGAACTTCAGGTTGCTGCCCTCCTGGAAGCGCCGCTCGTCGTTCTGAAGGCGCTGCCCGTCGTGGAACCAGACGTAGGTGATGTCGGTGGGGTCGCTGACCTCACACCGCAGCATGGCGCTGCGGCCGTGCAAAGCATCCTGGGACTTTGGCTCCTTGGTGAACTGGAAGGAGACGGCCTGGATGGACAGAACTGCGGAGAGAGAGAGAGAGAGAGAGAGAGAGAGAGAGAGAGAGAGAGAGAGAGGGAGAGGGAGAGAGAGAGGATCAGAGACGAGCTGTTAGAGTTTTACGGCTTTTTCCGCTCATTAATTCTTCGCCATGGCGAGCTCTTCGCCCTGAGAGGAATGTGATGTTTGGACAAAAAGCAGCTCGCCGTGAATTCTTCTGTCGTAAAATCATCAGAACCAACAACACGGAGGTGAGAGAGTCTGAAACCGAGGACCGGGTTTCAGAGTCACTGTAGTCCTCAGGACCCTGAAAAACCGGTGCAGTCAGGACTGAGAGGAGACATGGATCAACACTGATCATCTCCGCTCTGTGAGAGACCGCCAGGGTTTCAGAACCAAGAGAGGATTTCATCAGAACTTCATCAGAGGATCTGGAGAAATCTCTAAAGGGAGACAAGGACCAGAACCAGGACTGGTTGGTTCTGATCTTTAGGGCGTTAAAAACAGACCGGACTCTGGAGTGGGACAGTCCAGATGTCCTTTCAACGATGACTTAGAAATCATAGATGCTGCATCCTCATTTTTAAACAAGATCTATACACACGCACACACACACACACACACACACACACACACAAAGAGTCGCCCTCACGGCTCAGAGTCATGTGACCTCATGTTTCCCTCTCTTCGTCACGCACACTTGAATGTTTTACAGACAGTCGTGTTTTCTGCTCTATTTAACCTCAGCTGGAATGGGGGGGGGGGGGGGGACGACGGCGAATCCAAGAGTCAGTCAGAGGCCGCCATCTTCACCATCATCTTTATCATTGTCATCATAGTCATCATCATCATTATCGTCATTGTCATCATCATCATCTTCATCATCTTTGTCATCATCATCATCATCTTCATCATCATCATCATCATAATCATCATCGTTACCATCATCTTTGTCATAATCATCATTATCGTCATTGTCGTCATCATCATCATCATTGTCCTCATAGTCTTCATCATCATCATCATCATCATCATCATCATCATCATCATCATCATCTTTGTCATAATCATAATCATCATCATCATTATCGTCATTGTCGTCATCATCATCATCATCATCATCATCATCTTCATTATCATCATCATCATCCCACAGGAGAAGAGCTTCTGTTGATGTCACCGTCTCCTGGAGGTTCTTAGATCAGATGGACCTGCTCCTCCACAGCAGTTGGTGGTCTGAGGAGCTGGTCTGCAGCCCTGAATGGTTCCCCGAGAGGAGGAGGACTCAAACACAGACCTGATCCGCCTCTGCAGACCAGCAGGGGGCGCTTTGAGGTAGAGGAGGAGGACTTAAAGACAGACCTGATCCTACTCTGCAGACCAGCAGGGGGCGCTCAGAGCGACACTAAAGTGAACTGAGGATGAGGAGGAGGAGGAGGAGGAGGTTGGAGAAGGTCACTTCATTAAAGCTGCAGATGGACGTGGTTCATACTAACAGCTGCTGAGGGTCTGAATCAGTCTGACAGCTTCATCATCTTCATCATCAAACACACCTACACCTGTGTGTGTGTGTGTGTGTGTGTGTGTGTGTGTTCAAAGGATCTGTCACTAATATGAAATAAAGCGGAGTGATGAAGATCAGCCAAAGTCATTCCTCTCTCTATGAACCCCCCCACCCCACTCCATCAATCCTTCACCACCTCCTCCTCCTCTTCATCACCTCTGTCCCAGCTGCAGAAGAGGAGGAGGAGGAGAAGGAGAGGGAGGAGGAGAGGGAGAGGAGGAGGAGAAGGAGGAGAGGAAGAGAGGAGGAGAGGAGAGGAGGAGGGGAGGAGGATTGAAATGAATTGAAATAAAATTCAGTAAAATAACAAAAAAGTAATTAAAGAAATAAATAAAATAAAAACAAATTCAATTAAAACTAAATGACAATAATAAAAAAAATAATAGAAAAAAATAAATAAGTTAAAAAATAAAATATATTATTATTTTTACCAAAACAAAACAAACAACAATAATTAAATGTTAGTAAATTTAAATAAAATAAAATACAAAAGTATAAAATAATCCTTCTTCTTGCTGATCTTTCACACAGACACTACAGTCCTCTGATGATGAGGAGGATGAGGATGAGGAGGATGAGGATGAGACCATTATCGTAGATCCTGGATGTCGACTCTCCTTAAATGTGACTTGAACCTGTCAGCGCTGGCACTCCAGTCTCTCTTAATGGGGTCGGCGGTGCAGCGAGGCGAGCAGCAGGATCCCGGCGTGCCACTATTTCTCCCTCTCAGCAGTTTCCTCCTCCATCTTTAACCTACTTTCTGTCTCCTCCACCCCCCCAACACACCTTCATCATCCTCTCAGGGAAACGCCGACTGTTTTAATGCAGGAAAGATGAATATTTCATGCTGCTCATCCGGACGCATTACTGTGTTTGCTGCCAGATTTTCTCTGTGAGTGCAAATCGATCCAATCAGAGTCTGAGTTCAGTCTGAGGGAGGGAGGGAGGGTGACGCTGGAGGGGAAGAGCTGAGGATCACTACAGACTCACAAACACGACAAACTTTTGACAGACTCACAAACACGACAAACTTCTCTAAAGACTCACAAAGACGACAAACTTCTCTCAGACTTGTTTCTGTGAGTTCTTCCCTCCATCAGCCAACAGAAACTGTCATCAGTTCTAGAAATACAGACTGAGTCCACAGTGATCCGGTTCTGATCCGTCCACAGACTGAAGGGTGACCCTGGACTGAGCCGGTTCAGTCCCACAGTTCCTGTGTGTGTGTGTGTGGGTGTCCCCCCCACAGTCCTCTGTAGAACTATCGGGTCAGCGGTCTGAACCCAGACTGTGGTCTCACAGTATTTCTATGTTTGATCAGGCCCATCTATGAAACTGTCATCAAATCAAATTCACTGATTTCAGCACAAACTTCAGGAGTTTGTGGGTTTTCTAAAAACGGTTCTGGTGGTCAGAAAAAACACAGTACTGACTTTTATTTTGGCGGAGGGAAACCCTGACTTCCTGTTTCTGTGAGTTTTTTTTTCTCTCTTACTCTCCCTTTTAGATCCTCTTATTTTGAAGGGTGGGAGTAAAATTAGCTTATCACTTATTTTGAAGGGTCCTGAGTCTCTTATTTTGAAGGATCCTCAGTCTCTTATTTTATAGGGTCCTCAGTCTCTTATTTTGAAGGATCCTCAGTCTCTTATTTTGAAGGATCCTCATTCTCTTATTTTATAGGGTCCTCAGTCTCTTATTTTGAAGGATCCTGAGGGTCCTCAGTCTCTTATTTTGAAGGATCCTCAGTCTCTTATTTTGCAGGGCCCTCCATCCTTCAGTGACTCAAAGAAGCAGAAATAACTGAAACAGTTTCTCTAAGTCTGTGTCAGGGCGAGTTCAACTCTGTAATCGGTTATTAATGTCTGCTCTTACAGTGTGTGTGTGTGTGTGTGTGCGTGTGCATGTGTGTGTGTGTAAGAGAGAGAGAGAGAGAGAGAGAGAGCATGGAGGAGGCGGGGCTTCAGTCTGTGTGGATGTCGGTCTCTGTGTAAAGCATTTCCTCACCTGACCTCCATCATCATGAGGTTAGAGGAAACACCTCCTGTGTGTGTGTGTGTGTGTGTGTGTGTGTGTGTGTGTGTGTGTGTGTGTGTGTTGCGTGCCACAGCTCATTGTACTCTCCCACTCTCTCTCTACCTCCCTTTCCCTCCCTATCGCTCTCTCCCTCGTCCTTTCTCTAACCTCTCCTCCTCTCTCTCTCTCCCTCTCCCTCTCTCTCTCTCTCTCTCTATCCCTCTCTCTCTCTCTCCTTTGGTGCGAGGCTGCAGCTCGCCGCCGTCTGTGCGCGGATCTTGATGGATTGTTTGAACAGGATGTTGTTGAGACTCTTCAGACCATCTGTGTGAATTCCTCCAGTTAACAAAAAATATTCAGAGAGAAAAAGAGACAGGTCTGTAGATAAAACAGTCTGTAAATGAAAGTCTGTAGATAAAACAGTCTGTAATTAAAACAGTCTGTAGATAAAACAGTCTGTAGATAAAACAGTCTGTAAATAAAACGGTCTGTAGATAAAACAGTCTGTAAATAAAACAGTCTGTAAATAAAACAGTCTGTAAATGAAAGTCTGTAATTAAAACAGTCTGTAAATGAAAGTCTGAAAATGAAACAGTCTGTAAATAAAACAGTCTGTAAATGAAACAGTCTGTAAATAAATAGTCTGTAAATAAAACAGTCTGTAAATAAAACAGTCTGTAAATGAAACAGTCTGTAAATAAATCAGTCTGTAAATAAAACAGTGTAAATAAAACAGTCTGTAAATGAAACAGTCTGTAAATAAATCAGTCTGTAAATGAAACAGTCTGTAGATGAAACAGTCTGTAAATAAAACGGTCTGTAAATGAAACAGTCTTTAAATTAATCAGTCTGTAAATGAAAGTCTGAAAATCAGTCTGTAAATGAAACAGTCAGTAAATGAAACAGTGTAAATAAAAGTCTGTAAATAAAACAGTCTGTAAATGACACAGTCTGTGGATAAAACAGTCTGTAAATAAAACAGTCTGTAAATGACACAGTCTGTAAATAAAATGGTCTGTAAATGAAACAGTCTGTAAATGAAACAGTCTTTAAATAAATCAGTCTGTAAATGAAACAGTCTTTAAATGAAAGTCTGTAAATGAAAGTCTGTAAATAAAACAGTCTGTAAATGAAATAGTCTTTAAATAAATCAGTCTGTAAATGAAACAGTCTGTAAGTAAATCAGTCTGTAAATGAAACAGTCTGTAAATGAAACAGTGTATATAAAAGTCTGTAAATAAAACAGTCTGTAGACAAAACAGTCTGTAAATGAAACAGTCTGTAAATAAATCAGTCTGTAAATGACACAGTCTGTAAATAAAATGGTCTGTAATTAAATATATAAACAGTCAGGTAGAGCCAATTATATCAATATTTCACATAGAGAAGTGTTTTATTATCGAACAACCTGAGAAAGTCTGCTATCCTGTCAGTTAGTCTGCTATCCTGAGAACCAGAACCAGGCTGACACCGAGGACTGGGACCAGTTCAGCCCAGAGGAGCACCAGTATAAAACTCCAGTCTACCACAGACAGGAAAAGACATCAGCAGGAACTTTATTCTGAAACTCTTGGACTGTTGACTCACGCGGTCTCTCACAGCTTCAGGGTTTCTCATTTAGGGTCATTAAAATAATCATATTCTGTCTGATCTGAAAACCATCAGATCCAGTTCATCAGAGCGTCCCAGTTCTTCTTAAACTGGTGATGTTCACCAAACTGAACTGGATCCTGACCTGCTGCGGATGAGAATAAATCTGTAAAGCTGACGAGACTTCATCCTCGGGGAACATGAGAACATCAGCAGCTCCAGTTTGATGAGAAGATTCCTCTCAGACTCTAAATCAGTCTGAGGGTCGCCGCAGGTTTTAGTTTCTGAACCCTCTCCTGTCACCGTCGTCCATGTTGGCGTGTTGGCGTGTTCATGTCAGTCCTGCATGTTTCAGAGCATGAAGACATGAGCTCGTCTCTCATCACCCTCGCCGCTCCGCGCTTCACAACTGTCAGTCTGACCTAAAATAGAGACACGGCCGGCGCTCTCTCCCACTTTCAACACCCACTCATAAAAACCCGTCTGCTGCTGAAACACGGGCCGCCTGATGGAACCCGAGCCGCTGACAGGAGGAGCTCTGAGAACAACACCAGCCATGAAAGGAACCACCGCTATTATCATTACCCAGAGTGCACAGCGATCCGGAGCCTCGGCCGTCCCCTGCAGCTGAGCTTTAACAAGACACGCTGAATATGGGAGCAATTATTAGATTAAGACGGATTAGAGTGTGCTCAGGTAAAGAAAGCTGGCTCTCTCTGATCCTCCAAAACGGGCTCGGATCCAGAAAAACCTGCAGGTCCGTGAACCTAGATCTGAGCAACAAAGAGTCTACACACGCACGCACGCACACAGACACACACACACAGAGCTAACGGTGTTTACAGGAGAGAGAGCGTAAGTGTGCTGCAGACAGAGGATTGACTCTCAGGCTGAAAACGAAGGAGCTCTAACGTCAAACATCTGGGGTCGTTATTTTCCAGAACTACGAGCCAAAGATGGAGGAGATGAATGTGGAGCTCGGCGCTCTGCAGACGTTAGAGAGACGCCGCCTCAGCACAGACTCCTCACAGATATGAGACAGAACAGAGGAAAGACCGGGAACCGTGTTTCCGAACCGTCTGAAAGATGATCTGAG